ATTCACACTTGCTGGAGTGTCTCATTCGCATGCACACGTCACCAAACACAGATAGGATAGCTTCACACAAAGCTCAAAGTTGAGATGAGAGAAGAACCAAGTAGTCCAGCTTATATTATCAAAAATCACGTTATACAAGAGTATCTCAAGTTCAAGAGTCCAGTGCCCAAAGTATACAAGTCTCCCCTTCGTTCCAACACAGATACAGAGCCTGGCTCAGCCAGCGCTTGTTCCAGAACTCAAGAGTGGCGCTAACAGGTAAGTTTCCACCATAACCAATGTCTCCACCTGTCTTCACTCTCCCTTGTTCTCTCCTCTCAAGATCTCCCGGTTCTCCTCGTCTCTTCTTACATGCACACTCCCTGTCTACAAGGATCTACTCAGAATGCCTCTCGCTGATGTACTAACACTAACTCTACTAATGCTACTACTAACACTAGCTCTGCCTGGCGCAGCTATGGCTTGCTGCAGCCTGTGCAGCTTCCCTTCCTCTGGCGCAGCCTCTTCTTCAGCCAGCGCTTCCTCCCTGCACCTTAGCGCACAAGTGCCTCAGCACTTCCACGCATCAATGCTCATGGGGATCTGCCCTGTGGGGAGGCTGCCTCGTTTCTTATAGTGTTGGCCTCCCCTGGCGAGGTCTGAATTCAGTCTTGGTTGGTCCTTTTCCCAGTCCCAGCCTCTGTGCTGTGTGCCACAGTTCCTTTACCTCAGGGTCCACTGCTGCTGCGGCCTTCAGGCCTCAATTTCGGACTTCCAACCTGAATCTGGACTCTCCCTTAGACTGGAATCCTGACTGGGACTCAACCCTTTGACTACCTTCTGAAAGGACACACCTACTATACGTACAGACACACGTTCTGCACAAACAGACACTCATTCTGCACGAACAGACACATACACAGCACGTACAGACACATCTCTTGCCTGAACAGACATGGACTGCACATCCCCTGGACGAACAGACGTGACCCCCAAATTTAGATATTGCAACTGTTCGTTCAGGGGCACACTTATGACCTTTGACATTGGCTTTCGTTTAGCTTAGGATGTGACTCTTGACCCAGAGAACATGTCCTTCGATCTGCTTTCACGAGTTGGGGCCTGGCGAATGACCCCTCTATGCTGCATTTGCCGAACAGGGTCTGAATTGGGTAAAGGCCCTTTTATGTGTGTGTGATGGATTCTTTTGTGGTCGGGAGGTTATGCGAAAGGTGTGAATGAGCTTTCTGGTTTTGTGGAGGGTTTCAGGGTGGAGTGTCGGTTGCCGGAAGAGATGACTATGTGTGTGTGTGTGTGTGTGTGTGTGTGTGTGTGTGTGTGTGTGTGTGTGTGTGTGTGTGTGTGTGTGTACTACTTACTTCCTGTGACTGTCTTTGTTGTGTGGTAGTGAACTATGTGACCTAAACAAATTGTGCATCTTTTTCTCGACTCTGTTGAGACTATTCGTGTTTTAATGAAATTATTAATTACGTACCCGTAAAAACTGGCTGGAAAATCCTGGGCTTACGGTTACCGCCCTTGAGTTAGTTTTGTTGTTTCTGAAGCCATTGTGCACATTCGGACGATGCGACGTAGTTGTGTTCTGGCGACTTGCTTCCTTACCATTGAAACCCTACATCTGTCTTGATAACACCTGTGAACGGTGATGACACTGAATTGATTTCTTGATTGGGGAAGCGTACCACTGCTAAAGGAGATGCTGCAGTAGTCCGCAGCGAGATGGACACGACTTGTTTTATTTATCCAACCGCGTGGTTGGAGACACCCAAATTGATGAACTCAAGATGGGGACCACAGCCTGTCGTGGACGGGTGTCGCTGGGGGAAGGATCAACCCTTGGTCAACCCCCAACCGTGTCTAGGAGATGCAGCTGAACGGGTTCGTGAACGTGAGGTGCGGGTAGGATTAGGAACTAGACACGTTCGGTCAGGAAAGAGACGGTGTTTTCCTATGTATTGCGTATTATAAGAGCGCACGTAACAGGGCTCGAAGAGCGGGAACCAGGCCACAAAGTGACAACCAGCACCTGAAGCGCAATCTGCATTCTCGTACAGGTGACCGACCAACGGGCCTAGCACAGTGGGTACACCCATGATGAACTGTTGAAGTACGGGGCTGTGTTCGAATCCAGATGGAATTAGAGGAGTGAAATTTTTGAGTTACCTTGGGCCGGTCAGTTCCACGATGATATCTCAAGGATGTCGCCTCCTTTCAAAAGAAAAAAAAAAAGAAGACACGTGACATGACAGCTTTTGCGATGATCGCGAGGAGGAGGATGTGGATGTTCTCCTTCCTGATTCCTCTGCCGCCGGTCGGCTTTCTTCTACGGAATCCAGACTTTTGTAATATGTGAGGAGGAGATTGTGGATGTTTTCCTTCCTGATTCCTCTGCCACCGGTTGGCTTTCTTCTACAGAATCCAGACTTAGTAATATTTGTCATGGACGGGAGTATCGGACAAGCTGCGTATGACCAAGCATTGGCGTTTAAGCAGAGTGTTGCTGTTGGTGCTGTTATCGTCACGAAGATGGATGGCCATGCAAAAGGTGGAGGCGCTCTTAGTGCGTAAGTCCTCCCTGCGATCCCTTCTCTCCCGTCTCTCTACTCGTGGACACGCGAACTCCAACACGGAGTTTGCTCGTTGGACAGTGGTGTTTTGGAAAATCATTGGAAGACGGGCTAACAGTACAACAAATCAAATCGGACACTTGGACGAGATTGGCAAGCTCTCCTCTCTCCCCCTGTGCACCCCCTCCTACCCCCAAAACAGAGTGAGCAAACAGAGCAGAAAGGCAGAAGAGAGAAAAATTGGAAAGATCATAGATCCACTTATTGGCCAACGAGCAGAGTTTATTTCAGTGAATCGTAGTTCCTGGGGTGAAGAATCGGTTTTATGTTTCAGTCGTAAATTCCCGTAAATCAGATTGAGGCTTTTGCAGACGTCGAATTGGAACTTGTCTGTCTTATCTGACTGCTGTGTTGCCACCCTTCCCTCTCACCTTCCTCCTCCATCACCCTCCTCATGTCTCACACTCTTCTTTCTATCCCACCTGTCACCCTCCCCATCTCTCACCCACTGATTGGACCTCGTCACCTATCGACCTCTCTTCTTCCTCTCCTCTGCTCTTTCTGGTGGTTACTTCTTTGTTCTTCGATCCATGGGCTTTCACCCTTCTCTGTTCCATCTCCAGCTCTCTCTTGGCGCCCTTCTCTCGCTCTTGAGATTACTGTTTGGGGCTAGGCTGCCAGAGTGGCCCGGGACCACTTGCCCGGCCAGGCCAAAAACAAATTAACAAATAAAAAAATGTACATATATTTAAATATTTTTTAATTTTATTTAAAATTTTAAATTTGGTAAAGAAGTTCGATGTGACCCCGATGCAAAAGTTGTTCAGTTTATTTGTCCAAAAACAATTAAAAAAATAAAAATAAAAAATTTATTTTTGAACTTTATTTGTTTTTTTCTAAGTGTGGTGCAGAATTTCGATGTGACCCTGAGGCAAAAGTTGTTCAGTTTATTTTTCTGCATAACATAGTTTTTTTCGGGATTTTTTTGATTTTTTTTTTTTTTTGCTGGGACCTTCCCTGGTCCTTGCACGGGCTGGCCACCGGGACCCGGGCGGCCCGGCTGGTAGCCTAGAATTTTTGGTCTTTTTTTTTTTTTTGGCCCTTGCATGGTCGGGCCACCCGGGAAAATAGGGTGACCCGGGCGGCCCGGCTGGTAGCCTAGGTTTGGGGCAGTTTGGGCCCATTTCAGTGATCACTTCTGGGACACTTTGGTTGCATGACAGGGACATTTTAGACACATCGTGGAGACAGTTTAGGCCTCGTCCCAGGGGCCGCTGTTTGGTTTGCGTCCCAGGGATAGCTTGGGCCCCATCCCAGGGATTACTCTTTGGGACAGTCTGGGCCCATCCCATTGGCACTTTGGGGCCATTCCAGGGAGTACTGTTTTTGACAGCTTGGGGCCCACCCTGGCACAATATGGGCTCATTCCAGGGCTTATCGTTTGGGATAGTTTGGGTCCATCCCCTACTGCCTTATGTGAGCATCTATCTTGTGATTCCTCGTCTGTCTCGATTTTGTCAGGCTGGCTCACTGCCCCGCTACTTCAAATACTACCAGTCAAGAACTTGTTCGAAGGCTTTGCCTGGTGTAATTGTTATTCGGCCGTCATTTTTTTTTTTTTTTTTTTTTTTTTTGGGAGTGATCCTGTGATGGTTGCATTGTTACGATCAGGATGTCCTAAACCCTGGGCAGTTAAAATATCAGCATCTGGATACCAGTCTAAAACTACGTCTTCCTCCCCTGCCCCCCGGCCCTCACAAATTTCACTTTTTGAAAGTAAATCCGAAACGATATGGAAAAAAAGATATGTTGTATAGCATTATTAAAGTGCATAGAACTTTGGGCTGAGGGGCGTTGCGAAATTCCTAACCGAACCAAAGGGGAGAAAGATCAGAAAGATGAAAAAATAATATATTATATATGCATGAGTCAGTGAAACTCTGACGAAACAGTTTGTAACAGCCCCTTGTTTGTTGTCCTCTTCTTCCTCTCTGCCTACGGTTTACTGGGCAGCTTCAGCCTCCTGACGAGTCGGGGAAACTCCGACGGAACAGTTTGCCACAGCCCTTCGTTTGTTGTCCTCTTCTCCCTCTCTGCCCCTACGGTTTACTGTAGGCAGCTCTGTATATTTTTTTTTAAATTTTGATTTTGGTAAATAATTTAGAGATGACCCTGAGGCAAAAGTTGTTCAGTTTATTTTTCTGCATAACATAGTTTTTTTGGGGATTTTTTTATTTTTATTTTGCTGGGACCTTCCTTGGCCCTTGCACGGCCGGGCCGCCCTGGAAAACAAGCTGACCCGGGCGGCCCGGCTGGTAGCCTAGTATAATTGATATCTTTTTTGTTTCCTTTTGTTTTTTCTGCTTTTGCACTCTGATAACTTTGTGACAATATATATATCCGGATGATCCATGTGACGATGGCATCGAGATCCAGGTCGGGTCATAGATATGATGGCTTCCAGTCTTACCACTCTCCAGATGGTGGAGATCGCCGGGTTATTGTTGTTGATTGTTTTGGTGTCGTCAATTTTTTTGCATGACCACGACATGCTTGCGATAAACCTGCCAATTGTTCTCTGGGATGATTGTTGCCAAGCTCGCCGATGTCCCAACAGTGGCCATCACTTTCTGGGATGATGGCTGCCAAGCTTGCCGATGTCCCAACAGTGGCCATTGCTTTCGGCATCAGTGGAAGACCGAGGGCTGCGATTGCCGTTGGATTTGGCAGATTCTTTTGGCATGAAGGGCAGTCTGACAATGGCTGCCAATCTGCCCTGCTTTGCATCGGTTGTTAAACCACCTGTACCTCCGAGCCTCTTTTTGTCGAGGTGGAGTCTCCCTGCGGGCCAAAAAAAAGCAAATTGCCATGGAGGTCTTTCCGATTTGGCTTTGGCTGGCGCCACCAGCCATTTCGGTCCGTTAGCACTATTCAGCTGGATCACCCGGAATGCTGCATTTACGATTCTAAAGTTTGTTTGGGCGAGGTACTGGCGGTTTAAGGGCAGATCATTTGTATGTGCCGACAATCGCAGTCGTTTTTGGCAACGATGACATGCTGGTCGTTGTGCTTGCCGAGCCACAGTTGCTTGCGGCCACGAGATTTGAACCGCAAGTGAGAATTGAAAATGAGTCATTCGGAAACGTTCGGATGAACAGTGGTACTGGGCCAAAATCGCTGGCGGCACCAGCCAAAAGAAAAAAGAAAACCCCATGCTGGCGTTTCGACAAAGCTTGGCACGCGGGGGGAAATCCACCTCCGGGAAAAGAGGCTCTCAGATGTACTGGCGGTCGAAGGGCCTGGGAAGGGCCAGGTAAGCATTTGGGGATCACCAACTTGCCCATTTGGGCATTCCCTCTGTCCTTGTTGGCCAGATCGTCCAACTGCTTTGATGCAACACAAATCAATCGAGAAGGCAACATTGAGCTTCACATCGCATGGTGCATGCCATCTCCCCCCTCCGCATTTTGCAGATCCAAGCCAACGAGCGTTCAACAGTCCTTCTCCTCAAGCTCTTCTTGCACGTCTTCAACTTTCTTCTTTCTGTGAGGCGTCCTAAATATTGCAAGCAGATCTGCCAGTCATATCAAAAAATGTTTCTCCGAAAACTAGTGAATGAACAAGTTTTCCCAGCTCTGTCCCACCTCTCTGTGCCTGCTCTGTGTGCTACTTGTTCATGTGTGTGCATGTGTGTGCGACTGTGCACTTTTCTGTGCATGTGTGCGCGTGTGCACACTTCTGTGTGCATGTGTGCATGCACGTATGTCTGATGAGGTCACGTAGGAGTTTGTGTGCTTGTCCCAGAAATGATTATCCTCGGTTACAAATTTGATGATACGGCTATTCGAATGATGACAGACTGAGAAATGCTGTCTTGGCCAGTGGCTCGGAAATGAGCTGGTGAATTTGTCAATTTTGTTTAACTCACTTCTCTGACAATGATGGTGGTGATTTGTTTTTTATTATTATTATTTTTTTTTAATGCAGGGTTTCTGCCACAAAAAGCCCAATCATCTTCATCGGAACCGGAGAGCATATGGATGAGTTTGAAGCCTTCGAAACCAAACCATTCGTGAGCAGACTCTTAGGTATGCGCAGTGCGACCAATCCTGATAACTTTGTCTGCTTTCCGCTTTTCGTTCTCTTTTCCCCATGCACCGTACCATGCAATCACTCAAGAAAAGCAGGCATCCCACTTTCCCCGCGCTTCTGCTTTCTCTTTCCCTATCCAACTCCCTTGTTCATCTCTTTCTGGGACACGAGCAATGTATTACGTGCCTCTAATCCCTGGTGGCATGTCTCCTCATCCCTTCATCCTGATGAGTTGGTCTCCTCCTCCTCCTCCTCCTCCTCTTCCTTCGTAGTCATCGTCGTTTTTGTCTTCTTCGTCTTATTATTCTTCATGAGCATCATCATCACCTTCATCATTGTTATCACCATCGTCATTGTCAGCACCAATACCACCGTCATCCTACATCGACATCCGCGTGGTGATCGAATATCATCATCAGCACCAAAATCCGTCGCCGTCATCGTTGTCATCGCGATTGCTGTCATTGCACATTGGTGTCATTGTTCTCACCAACATCGTCAGTGTTATCATCAAGAAGTCAGCTTTTGGGTTTACATGAACGCTGTCATAATCCTGTTAAAAGAAAACCCGGGCCTCGTGTGGCGTGCCCACGCTAGAGCCGGAACCGTGTGGGACAGTGTGTCTTGCTAGGGATGTTGCGGTTGTGTGGGGGAGTCCGTCTTTCTCTTTTTGTCGGTCGCGTTCCGCGCGCTCGTATCTAGATGCGTTGCGGGGCTTGGCCGCACAGTCGCTATGCCCACGAATAGTTACAGCTGCTATGCCCACCAGTCGTTGGAATTCCGAAAGAAAACTCAAAATTCAAATCAAGATGAGAACTCGCCTGTTTTGCGCCCTCCAAGGAATCCGTGTCTGTCATTCCGTTTGTTTGTGCCATTTCCTGTTTGTCCTTTTGTGAGATGCAGTCCTTCGTTTGTTTGTGACGTTTGAATACAGCCCGATTGGAGCGGAGAAGCCACAGGAGCTTAAATCTGGGCTTCGCTGCACTACTCTCGAAATGTGCAAAACGAGAGTGAATCTTCAGCTAGAATATGGAAAGATGCACCGCCATGATTTTTTGTCTTTTGTGCATGTCGAGAGTAGTGCAGCGAGGCCCTAAATCTGGGCCTCAGTCCACTACTATCCACATGCACAAAAGACAAAAAATATGGCGGTGGTGTAACTTCCCATGTTCTGGCGGAAGATTCAATTCTCATTTTGAACAGTTGGTGAGTAATGGAGTGAGGCCCTCCGTCTGGGGAATCAGACGAAAAGAGGAAAAATCGTGTTGTTCTCTTAATATGTACTGGCACTTTCGAGGGCGCTCGCTCCACTCCTCACCAAATGTCCAAAGTGGGAATGAATCTTCGCCTAGAACATGGAAACATACACTGCCATTTTTTTTCTTTTTCTTTTGTGCATGTGGTGAGTAGTGGAGCGAGGCCCTATGCTCTGAATGGAGGAAAGGCATATGTGCTGGTGTGGGCCGTTCTCCAGATTTCTCTCCGCGCTGTGCTATTCGATCGCGGGCATAATTACAGTTCGATGCATCCAGGCAGGGGGATACATATAGGAAAGATGGGTTTAGGCTTGGCTGCCATCTGATCTGAA